TCCTGCCCCTCCTCCTCATCACTCCTCCTCCTCCTCCTCCTACTCCCCCTCCTGCTTCTCCTCGTCCTGGGGGTGGGGGGCGCAGGAGGAGAAGGCGGAGAATGCGGAAGAGGAAAATGCTGCTGGCTTACATTTCTTGGTCCGTTTCTCCTGCTGCCGCCACCGTCGTTCCGTCTTACTGGCATTGCCTCCTCTTGAGTGAGTGATGCGTGATCGGTGCAGCTGACGAACTTCATTTGCTGATACGTGCCGAGCCGAGCCGATGAGCAGGCGCGCGGGAATGAGAAACGGGGGAGGGGGAAGTGGGGTAAGGAACACGGTCAAGGAGACGCAACATCAAATGTTCGGCCGTCCAGGGGAACCCGTGTCGGGAAACGCCACGGCCGTCCCCAGATAACGCCCGGGGCCGTCCTCGGACACACATGTACAAACATCCCAAATCCCAAACATTTTTGTTCGTCGGCGGCGAGGCAGAGGAAATCCGCACCAGCGTGGGGCTAATCGGGGCAATCGATCGGCTAATTGTCCGGCGTGCAACCCAAATCCCAGACAAAGAAATGCAACATGTCTACAAGCGAAAACAAATATATGTGCACACACAAGTCAATCCCCGATAACTCCAAATATCCCCGAATCCTGGAAAGCCAGCTGCCCGGAACTGCAAAGGCAGCGGAACCGCGAGCGTGGAAATGACTTACGTCGGCCGCACGAGGCTGAGACTCTGCACACTTTCAATCCCCGAGTCTTCGCCCTCGTCACCGTCGGTCCTCTTCCTTCCGCCTCCTCTTCTTCCTCTTCCTCCTCCTCCTTCTCCTCCTCCACGTCCTCTTCCTCCTTATTATTATTCTTCTTCGTCTCCTCCTCCTCCTCCTCCTCCCACTCCTCCTCCTCCTCTTCCTCCTCCTACTCCGCCTCCTCCTCCTCCTCCTCCATCGGCCTTCTCCCTGCCAGTGCCCCTCCAGAAGGGAAGGAGAGAAGGAGGGGCATGAGCGGGCGCGAGAGGTGGGATCCTGGCGCTCCTTTGTGAGACGGGCACCGAGGGCCAACGAGGCTGCAGGAAACAGAAAGAAGGGGACGATACGAAGGGAGGGGATAACCAGCAGCACGAGAAGGAGTTGGATGACCAGCCCAAACAAAAACAGGATGTGCTTTAAACAAAAAAGACGAGGAGGAGCAGGAGGCGGATTTGGAGAACGCGGCAGGGGTGGACTGATGCTAAGAACTATGAAAGCGAATACATCTGGCCAGAAATAACACAAGGACGGATGGTACGATAATGATGAAGTGCGAGGCCGAAACCAAAAAGGGTGGAGCACAGTCAGACGAAACAAGAGTGGCGAAGACGAACGCCTTGCGATGACAGCAAGACATTGAGTGGAGTAGTTAACTGCGCTCAGGTCAAAACACGAACTTGGGATGGCTAATATAGACAACGGGGGCAAACACGAAGCAGGAGTGACGACGCCGAAACAAGGATGGCGAAAACGAAGCGCCCCTCCCGCTCCCCCCGCCAAACGTTGCCCCTGACCCCCTCTGCTGCGCCGTGGGGGCGCGCCCAGCGATCTGGGCCCGGCGATCGGGGTCCACCCTCAACGCTGCCATTGACGCCTGGTGCCTCGAACAAACCGAGGCGCCTCGGACAAGCCGTGGCGCCCGATCGGGGCCCGCCCCCCAAAGTTGCCCTTGACGTCCGCTGCCTCGAGCCTCGAACAGGCCGAGGCACCTCGAATGAGCCGTGGCGCCTGATCAGGGCTCGATCGAACCTCGTCGGGAACGCACAGACCCGAGTCAACGCAAACCCAAGCCATTCAGGCCTTGCAGGATCCTGCAAGATCCTGCACGCAAGCCCGGGTCAATGCACCCCTGGCCCTGCAGGATCCTGCAAGATCTGGCGCTCTCGCTGACACCCGTTTGCATTGACCCCCGTCTGAAGGCTCCCGACCTCGAACCTCGAAACGTCGCCCGGCTCCCTTGCCCGAGGAGGAGGAGGAGGAGGAGGAGGAGGAGGAGGAGGAGGAGGAGGAGGAGGAGGAGGAGGAGGAGGAGGAGGAGGAGACGACGAGAACGAGGAGTGGAGGAGGACGACGAGGAGGAGAGGAGGAGGAGGAGGGGGAGGAGGAGGAGGAGGAGGAGGAGGAGGAGGAGGAGAAGGAGGAGGCGGAGGAGGAGAGGAGGAGGCGGAGGAGGAGGAGGAGGCGGAGAAGGAGGGGCGGAGGAGGAGGAGGCGGAGAAGGAGGAGGCGGAGGAGGAGGAGGAGGAGGCGGAGAAGGAGGAGGCGGAGGAGGAGGCGGAGAAGAGCGGAAGAGGAGGAGGAGGCGGAGGAGAGGAGGAGGAGGAGGAGGGGAGGAGGAGGAGGCGGAGGAGGAGAGGAGGAGGCGGAGAAGGAGGAGGCGGAGGAGGAGGAGGAGGCGGAGGCGGAGACGGCGTGACGCCCGATCGGGGCCCGATCGAGCCTCGAGCCTCGAAGCCTCGCCCAGCGCCCTGGCCCCCCCCGCCCTGCCCGGCGCGGGGCTCCCAGGGCCTGCCGCCGCTCGCATCGAACAGGGTGGTGCTCCGCAGGTCGCTGTACAGAAGCTCCACGGTGCCTGCGGGCCGGGGGGGGGAGGAGGAGGAGGAGGAGGAGGAGGAGGAGGAGGAGGAGGAGGAGGAGGAGGAGGAGGAGGAGGAGGAGGAGGAGGGGAGGAGGAGGAGGAGGAGGAGGAGGAGGAGGGGAGGAGGAGGAGGAGGAGGAGGAGGAGGATTTTTTAAACATGAACCATGACTGGCAGCTCCAGGTCTGCCAGTAAAGAAGCCGCCGAGCGTCGGGAAGGGGAAGAGGGTCGAAAGCTGGGCAAGGGCCGATAAAACCGTGGCTGCTAAAACGGCCCTCCCGGAAGGAAAAAACAACTTCCCGGAATTAGGCGCGGCACGCGAAACAGTCAACGGGCTTCATCCCGGAAGGACGAAGACAACTTCCCGGAGGTCGATTCTAGCAGCCACGGATTTAGCAACCCTTGCCCGGCTTCCGAGAGGAGATGTTCTACATCCACCGCCACAGGCACGACCTACGGTTGGCGGAGGAGACATGGTAGGGCGGGACTTAATGGGGGGGTCATAGATGGGGGGGTCAGAAACGGTCCCCTTTCCTGCCCCTTTCGGGCCCCTCCGGAGCCCCAGGGGGCTCGTTTCGGTACCGTTTGGGTACCTTTTCGGACCACCCTCGCCACCCCCCCATTTATGATCCCCCCATTACGCGACGCCCAACATGGCGTGCAACACTGATCTCTGGAGAGCGCGCTATCCCTGCCAGGCGATCCCGCAGCGAGGGCCCCTTCTGTGCACGCCTTCCCTTTGCCGGGGGCTTCTTCGGTGCACGCTATCCCCACGGTGTGGGACTAGCGTGGAATAATCGGGCTGGCGACGCCACATCGGGTACTATATTCCCAGGAACCACGACGAAGCAAGCTCGTCTGTGGCCCCCGCCCTCCTGGGAGCACCCTGTGCCGATGAGGGCGCCTCGCTGTTGTTCCGTTTCCGTCCGCCCGTTTTCCTGCCCGCAGGTTCTGGCAACTGGACGTGTTGGTACCAGCCCCTGTGTCGGCTTCATTGCCAGGCCGTTGTTCTTTTTATACCGTCTGGACGCTACAGTCTCAATGATTAAAAGTTTGCCCAACTTCCGAGAAGGAGGGAGAGCGAAGGCGAAAGGGCGGAGGAACTCCCTCCCAGCCTTCTCCTCCATCGCTGCTTGTCGCTCGCCCCTCTCGCTCCAGCACCGACTTGTCCCATGTCCTCAGCTTGTGTGTTCCGTTCCCCTCTGCTCCTCACCCTCGTCTCCAAGACAAGGGGCACCATACTGCCACGAGGAGGAGGAGGTGAGGACGAGACAAGAGTGGTCCTGCCAGATGCACGTTTCAGGCCAAAAACCGTTGACACAGGATTGGAGAATATGGGGATGAGGAGGATGCAGCGCAAGACGAGGACGGAGAAAACGAACGGGGGAGAAGGGTAAGGAGGAGGAGGAGTGAGGGAGCGATGAAGGAACAGGAATGAGGCCGAGGAGGGGGGGGTGGAGAGACGAGGCGTCGACGGCGAGGAGGTAGCGAGGAGAAGGAAGAAAGAGGGACAATTGAACTGGATCCAGGAGGAGGCGGATGAGGCGGAGGAGGCAGAAGAGAACCAATTAGGACCAGGAGGGAGGGGGGAGCAGAGGAGGAGGAGGAGGAGGAGGAGGAGGAGGAGGAGGAGGAGAAGGAGGAGAGTCTAATGAGGCGATTGGCAACGCTGAGAAGGGGCTCCGAAACCGAGGCACCACGTCTACAAAGGCAAATCTATAAATGTGAGCTCTGAGATTAGCTGTGTGAACGGATGGGGGCGGGCTTGCGAAACCCGTTGCCGACCTTCTCACCCGATGGGCACCTTCTCGGGCGGGTGGCAATGGGGGGTGGCCTACAAGGGCGGCGCAAGGAAGAAGGACCCTAAAGGTCGTTTCTGTTCCCAAGGCCCTCTTGAAGCCAGCAGGGGCCCAAAAAGGAACCCGAAAAAGTCACTATGCAGGATCCTGTCCTTCACACCCCATTCAGACCACCCCTCATTTTTAATGCCCGCCCGACCCCCCCCCTGGAGCGGACGGTTTTTCTTTAATAAAATGCCCCGCGGGGCCCAAAGGGGGTCTGCCAGCGCAGGGCCTGGCGACCAAGAGCGCCGCTACAAATGCAACGGGCAGTGCAATTAACATGCCGAACCATGGGCCCAAGCTTCTACAAGCGGCGTGAGCCGCGCGCGGCTTGGACCCCCATCTGGGGTTCTCCACGCACCAACTTCGCGGAATCGCACCGCCAGGCAAAGCTATCGAACCTCTCAGAGGCCCATCCACCCCCAAATTTGCTAACGGGATGGCCTTAGGCATCACGCAGTGTCAGCCCTCTCGGCTTTTCAAGTGGGTATTCCCCCCAACCTATGCCCACTTTCTTCTCGAGCAACGCCCTGATATCCTCCGCGCAAGGTGGCGGCGGCGTGCCCCCTCACCTGTTCTGCCTGATGCGCCCCCGGTGAAGCATCCCAAGGTGTGTGGCCGCACCGCCGTTGGCAAAGACATCGGCCTCCGGGTTGCCGTGCCAGTAGGCCATGGGGGCGCCGCTCGCCTTGGCCTTCGTCCGAAACAAGTGTGAGGGCATCCGCTCGGTCTGCATCTGGCCATCGTCGAAGTCGCCCAGCTTGCCAGCCCGCGAACAATTATGTGCTGCTCGTGGCCAACACCATCTCCCCACCTGGCCATCGTCGAACTCGCCCAGCTTGCCAGCTCGTGAACAATTATGTGCTGCTCGTGGCCCACACCATCTCACCCTGGAACTTGCGCAGGATGGCGTTGGTAGCCGCGTGCGTCTGGCCGCGCCAGATGTCTGCCAGGGAAAAGGACAGGTCATGATGCTGTCGCAATCCTGTTGCGCACTGCATCCGCACCGCACTGGCATCCGCAATCATGCAAGAGCCCCGTCTGCACCGCGCTCGCACATCGCAACGTGGATACATTTTTTTCGATTCGCGGGTCGAGAGCGCACCTCTATACCAATGAGGATACAAGCAGCTGCCATAAGCACAAAACTCCACTGCCCATCCCACTCACCGCACTGCGACACCGTCGAATAATTGCCTGCGCCCCAGGCGGCGCTGCGTCATAAAGCGGACATGGGAGCAAACAGCTGCGCTACATCATCGCACGTGGATGTTCCTGGCCGCGCCCCCGTGCTGCCCCGCACGTGCTGCTTCAGTCCGTCCCCAATCCAAATCAAATCAAGCCGTTCGTTGGTGTGCCAATCGCATATAAACGCTCCGCGCGAGTCCGTGCCCTCTTCAACCCCACATGCGGCACGCAATGGCCAGTCCGCCGCCTCCATTTTGAGCAACCTCACTTGGTTGCGGAAAAAAACACGCGTCAGCGACGTGCGGCTGAAACCAGAGCACGCGTAATCCCCCTTAGCGGGCAGGGTCGAGATGAGCTTAACGGCGGGATCCAGCAACGGTGGCCCAATGGGCCCTTCCATACTTCTGCTCGTCGGCGTGGCCTCCAGCAGTACCCTGGCCGTGGAAATGTCAGCCAGTTTCCCCAGCGTGTCAGGCGCCAGGCCCAATGCTATTGGTACTTTTGCCACGTGTGCCCACTTTCTACAGTCCAGCATAACTTCTGTAGGTTAAGGAGAACTCCTCCAGCAGGGCCCTTTACTGTCTTCCACGTCCGCATGTGAATTCCGCGCGTGCATCAGCGCCAAAGCCACTGTGCGTTGTCGCGCCCAATCTTCTAACTTTGCATCACTAGAGGACACGCGTCCGCCACGCAGGCGGGGTCGCGACAGAAGACACTCCATGATCTTGCAGCTGCCGCGGGCCATGCCAAATAGAGCATGGCCAAACATGGCACCGACCGTCCGCGGCTGGAGGTCGCTCGCGCCCTGCACCTTAACCGCGTGCACCACTGATGCAACGCCTCCACTCCTGCGCGGCGTTCCCACCTTTCTCCCTCCTTGAGCAAGCCCCCTGCACCTGCCCGTTCGCATGCCCGCGTCTTGCACCCTGGTTTTCTCAATAGGAGCCTCCGCACCTCCGACCATTCGCTGGTTACTCCCAGTTGTCGAACCACTATCCCTTCCTTGAACGTGCAGCTTCTCAGAGTGGCCCCGCACCTGCTTCGCCAGCCTGGGTGCTGTCGCGATCAAGTGTCCCTTGTTGGGGCTGACCTTAAGGTCAGGCTTGATCAAATCCATGGATAAGTATCTCATCGCCGCCACGATGGCCACAACGGCCCTCGGCGCTATGTCTGCGACGTGCAGACTGCCATCGCCCACCATCGCAGCAATGGTGAGCGACGGCCGCAATGCGCACGCTGATCGCACGCACACCTTGCAAACAACATCATCATCGTGGTCGCGTCGGAGCAGCCTGCAGTCGTCCCTGTAATCCTTCGGGCCCCGGGCACGCCTGGAGGCCATCGTGCCGAACTTGCAACTTCTTCTGCCGACATACGTCTTGATCAACACGGCCAGCCTGCGCCTGGGGGAACGATGCCTGCAGACAGTCTCCCACAGCGTGGCATGGTCTATACTGTCGAAGGCTTTCTTAAGATGGGGCATGCCCGCCAGAGTCTGCGTCATCATGGCACGTCCAGCTTCAGCCAGCAACGACTGAGCCCACGCCGCCCTCCCTGAGCTTGAGCCCGCCGTCGCGCAGCGGCAGTGCCTCACATCGTCCTGTGACATCCTCGCCTGCACCTATTGTAAAAAATGGGCGTGTCCGTCACGAGGCCAGACAATCTGCGCCCTCACTCTGCGTTCGGCAAGCGTGGAAGAATCGCGTTTGTCACCAGCGTAGGAACCTCCACGAGCTCCCCAGCCGTCGCCATCGCCTGTCCAAAGGCATCCAGACACTCGACAGACAGATGAATTAATCTCCTGGCCCCAGATTGTGAACACCTGGCGCCGTTGTAGCCTCGGGGGGGTTCGCCGCCCGTCGCATCTCGCCACGCCCCACCTGATCTGAGACAAGAACACGATCCAACCCTCGCAAGCTGAGTCCACCTCCAAACGGCTAATGCGTCCACCCCCAAACGGCATTGTCCCCGTCGCGCATCCACGAACTACCCACCACTGCTGCAGGTCCATCCCCACCGTGGTCGCGCACGACTTGGCCCCTGCTTCTGGACGGGCCTCAGTTTGCGTCCACAAGACTGGTAACGTATCCCACCCACGCACATTGGAAACCCTCCGTCTCGATCGCTTCAGACAGCGGTGCTCTCCATAAGTTGACTCCCGCGTTGGCGCATTGCTGTTCCAGCCTGGTTGCTTCGCATGCCAGCATCCAGCTGCAGTCTTTTGCATGGCCTACCTCCCATAACCATGCATGCTGCAGCCGGTCTGATCATGAACAGCGAATCGCCCACGCGCAAGAATTTGCCATCCAAGTTGATGAGCACTCGTAATCCCTGCTGAAAAAAACTACGGATATAACTGACGAGGGCCATCGAAGCTCGCCTCAAACACCTCGAAGATGGATTCCCTGTCGCCCCTCGGCATGGTGCTTTCTTCGCCGCCGCCGCCACCAGCTTGACCCTTGGATCAGTGGGCCTGCCACGTCCGCTTGGTACCTCCTTCTTGGCGTCTGAAAAATGGAAGCATCAGTAATCAAATTTCCTGCTCGACGAAGTCCATCCCCTTTTTCGTAGCACCTGTCTAAATCACTGCCGCCGCTGGCGTGCTGGCGCTTCATCCTCACCTGGTAGTAGCTGGGAGGTTCTGTCGCTGCGCCCATTGGGCGCCCCCCTAGGATACTTCTCAGGGCTGGTGAGGGGGGTGGCAGTGCCGCCCTTCGGCCCGGGCGACGTCGACCGACGACGAACGAACGACGACGAAAAAACGACGAACACGGAACGAACGAACGAACGGACGAACGAACGACGGCTTTGTCGGCGTAGACGCTGGCGCCGACGCCGACGAGGCTGACGCCGACGCCGACGCCAAAGCTAACGACGACGACCACCGACGACGACCGACGAAGGCCGACGACCGACGACGACCCACGAAGACGGACGACGACCGACGACGGCCCGCGCTGCGCAACGTGCCGCGTGCCGAGTGCTGGCTGGTTGGGGGGCAGCGGGATGCGGCGCGCCTGGCAGCTGCACGGCCGCGAGCTCCGCAGCGGTGTGGCTGACCAAGCGCCCAGAGCGCATGACCTGAGGAGCGCCGGGGATGCAAGTTGGCGCGCGCGCTGGCCGAAATGGGTACGCAGACACTGGCCACGAGGCCCAACTGCAAACATGGTCCAGTGCGGACAGCGGCCGCTGTTGGGCAGGCGATTTTGCTTGCCAAATGGACCGCGACCACGGCGAAGCCGACAGCGAGGAGGCCACAGAGCGGGCGCCTCGGCGTTTGCAAGGCGCTGGACGTTATAGTGGCGAAGTTAGAGGCGGGCCCCGATCGGGCGCCACGGCTTGTCCGAGGCGCCGCAGCGTTTTCGTGGCATCGGACGTCAATGGCAACGCTGGGAGCGGGCCCCGATGACTGGGCGCGCACCCGCGGCGCAGCAGAGGGCTTCGGGGGCAAGGGTGTGGGGGAGGGGGGGGGGGCAAGCTAGGTGCGCTCGCGTCATATCTGACATCCTACCCCTCCCTCCCATCCCGTACCATGGCGTAGATCCCCTCTCTACTCGCACAGTCGGACGTCGAGCAGGGCAATGATCCCGAAAGGGTACGCGATGCATTGTAGAGCACGGCATGGCATGACGTAGAAGAGCACCGCAAAGAGTAGTATGTCACAGCATGGCGTGGCGTGGCGTAGTGAAGAATTGCAGCACAAAGCTTTGCAACGCAAAGCATGGCATCGCACAGCGGCCCCGAACATAACATTGCATAGCATGGCGTTGAAGATCAAAGCGTAGCATGGCATAGCAGGACGTGGCACGTACGCACTGCATATCACAGTTTCAGCTGAAGGCATAGCATCGCGCAGGAACGCAACCTAGCATTGCATTGCATGCCGTGGCATGGCATTGGAAGTGACGCCACCGCTGCGGGAGCACGATTCGGAACGAGCGGAAGCGCGGAAATGAGGCCAGCGCTGCAGCGGGAGCACGATTCGGAACGAGCGGAAGCACGGAAATGAGGCGAGCGCTGCAGCGGGAGCACGATTCGGAACGAGCGGGGCCCGAAAATGAGGCCGGCGCCTCAGCGAGAGCAGCATTTTGAAAAAAAATGCAAGCGAAAACCCAACTCCGGGGAATCCTGCGTGTACACTCCCAACCCGTCATCAGGCGATAGAGGAGAGTAGTATTCATATTGAGGAATTGTCGAGGTGGGGCGGGGGGGTGAGGGGGTGCGGGGGTGCGGGGGGAGGGGGGGGGGCAAACTTCGAGGTTCGAGGCTATTCTGACAACTTCGGCAACTCCCGGCGGCGTGGGATGCGTTCCGGCAGCTGCGCCTCGCCGAGAGCGCTCTGGGTGCCCCAATCGCCCCGCGAGGCCACCAGAGGCCCGAGTCAGGAACCGAAGGCCTCAGGGGCCACGCTGGGGGGGGGGACAGTATCAGAGGGGAACGCATCGACCCCCACTCGCCAATTCATCACCGACAGGGGACCGAGAGCCCGCCCTGCCCACGAGCGTGCGGATCCGTTCTTGGAGGCACATCGCCGATCTATCGGCAGCGTACCGCATGTCCCAGGTCGATGCTTCTCACCTCAGCCGATCCCCCTCTGAGCGTTGTGCCTGGGGACGTCTGGGTCGTCTTCGTCGTCCTCCTGCTTTTTTTTGCGTTAAACAAACGTAGGCGACGAGGCTGTCGCGTTCTTCGCTGCAAGAAGAAACAAGCAGTACACGATGACATTGGGCAAGCAAAAACATTATCCGACCGCAGCCTGAGCGGCGCAGAAGATGCGAAAAGAAACGGGAACGTCGAGACGCCCGCGAGGGCGTGGAGCGTTTCTGCAGGCGTCGGTAAGGTAATTAGGGTGGCGAGAAGAGGAGGAGGGACTTGGCGAAACCAAAAGATACCGATACGGCTGCTCCCCGGACCTCTCCAGGGGTGCGGTCTGACAAGGATTTCGAGGCGAATCCATCGGTGGCAACGAGGACCTCTCAGGAAGCCCACAAAGGGGAAACACGAGGAAAGACTAGGGGTATGTGTACCCTTTTCTCCCCTGAGGACCAGGCTGGCTAGGGGGGAAGAGAAGGAGGAGGAGGAGGAGGAGGAGGAGGAGGAAGAGGAGGAGGAGGAGGGGGAGGAGGGGGAGGGAGGAGGAGGAGGAGGAGGAGGAGGAGGAGGAGGAGGAGGAGGGGAGGAGGAGGAGGAGGAGGGGGGAGGAGGGGGAGGAGGGGGAGGAGGGGAGGAGGGGGAGAAAGAGGAGGAGGAGGAGGAGGAGGAGGAGGAGGAGGAGGAGGAGGAGGGGAAGGAGGAGGAGGAGGAGGAAGAGGAGCATGAGCACGACCACGAGGGGAAGTTGCGGGCCTTGGCCCGGGGCGCGCGGCCTGTCGGAGAGCAACGGAAGCGGGCCTCGATTGTCCTCGGGCGCCACGGAAGTCGATGCGTCGTTTGCCGATGGTTTTCCCTGCACCCAAAAAGCCTCACCTACGCCACGCAATATATATATATATATATATATATATATGCACCACCGCCCTCCGACGAATTCTGCATGTGCCGTCAGGGAGGGCAGCGGTGTATGAAAAAACGGGCTCACAGGGTGACTTACACCCAGCTATCCTCCCCGGAGGCCCTGGATAAATCCATTGCAGGGTGTCTGTGTGTATCCTTTTGTGGCGAAGCATCGTTGCCGCGCAGGGACGCGACTCGACAAAATGCCCCGCAGCCATCGCGCCCCGCAGCTCACGCCGTGCCTGCTGCAGGGAATCGTGGATGAACGCGGCTTGATATTATGTGCATATATGGACATAAACATATACATATATATGTATATATATATATATATATATCGATGTATAGATATATACATGTATATATGTATGTGTATATATAGATAGTTAGATAGATATGTATACATAGCTATATATATGTATATATAGATGTATCGATATATGTATATGTGTGTGTATGTATATATAGATAGATAGATAGATAGATAGATAGATAGATAGATAGATAGATAGATAGATAGATAGATAGATAGATAGATAGATAGATATATATAGATATAAAGATATATATATATATATATAGATAGATAGATAGATAGATAGATATATAGATATATCGATAGATCGATAGATAGATAGATATATATATAGATATATAGATAGATAGCTATATATAGATAGATAGATAGATATATAGATAGATAGATAGATAGATAGATAGATATATAGATAGATAGATAGATAGATAGATAGTCGGCCTCTAAGTCATTATGGGCCCTGGAAGGGGTCCAGGGACCGATTTTGGACAAACCCTGGGTCGAATCTGGCGTCCAGCGCCGCGAAAAGACGACGACGCACGGCCACTCCGCGTTCCTGCCCAGGGACCTCTTGGGACTCAGGGGCAGTGGTAGACCGCAATGGGGCGGAACCCCCATATAAATCAAGGCCCCGTACAACCGGAAACGCTGGACCAGGACATCCACCATCCCTCGAAACAATTTTTCCCATTAGGCGGCGCGAAGCAACCATGCATTCCAACTTTTCCGGAATAAGCCCGGACACGAGCGACAACAATCTGCAGAATATCCATGCACCCGGACAGCAACCCGAACCCCGCAGCGCGGCAGCAAAGAAACAGCACTGAACGACCAGGTCTGACTTTGCAGGAAAGGGCGTCGTTTCCACGACTTGCCAATGTCCTGGTTCGTCGGCGCCCTGGCCTCCGAGGGCCCGAACAAATATGAGGCCTGCAGCTCAGGAGGGCAGTGACGGAAGAGCGGGAGGAGGCAGGAGCACGAGGAGCAGGACAAGCCAGATGGCGCCGGCGAGGAGGCTGGCCCCTCTCCCCCTCGAAGCACTGCCGCGCGGCGCCCTGCGCGCACGCCCCGCACGCTGGCGGCGCCTCCGCCCACAGCAGGCGCTCCTCCTCAGAGGCGAGCGCCCGCAGGCGCGCGCGCACCGTGCCCGCGGCCCGGCCCCAGAGGGCAACGCCGGTGGCCGCCCGCGCGCGTGCGCGGCAGCGCCCGGCGGCAGCGCAGCCCTCGGCGCCGCGCGGTCCGCAGACCACCAGCGTCCGGAGCACCGACTGCGCCGCGGGGCGCGGCCGGCAGCGGGCCGCCCCCCCGAGGAGCGCGCGCGCGCGGCGCCCGCCCGCCCTCTCCAGCTCTGCGGGGTGGCCGAGCTTTGCGGGCGCGCAGGGGCCTCGCACAGGCCCTCGCGGGCGCCGCGGGCCTCTCGCTGCACGCGCCGCCCCGGAGAGCTGCCACCTGGCCCAAAGGGGGCCGTGCTGGTCATGAGAAGGACGAAAGGGGATGCCGACACTGCCGGCGGAGCGCCCCAACCGCGCCGCAAGCCGAGAGGGAGACGGGACCGTCAAGGGTGCTCGGGGAACCCTTTGGCGCCGCGTTTCGGTTCCTCTTGCCGTGGCGGAAGCCCTCCGCCGTGGGGCTTCTCCGCCAAGCAACGCTCGCGGAGCTCGGCTTTGCAGTAAGCACTGGGCCACCGATTTTGACGAATACGACGAGGAGGACGAGAAGGAGGAGGAGGAGCAGGAGGAGGAGGAGGAAGAGGAGGAGGAGGGGTGGGAAGGAGGGGGAATGGGCATGGGATCGATGACGACGTCATGCTGGGAGGAGGAGCGGGAGGTTGGAGCGTCTGGGGGTGGGAGGAGGAAAGGGAGGGGGAGAAGGAGGGGGGAGGTGGTAGAGGGGAAGGCGAAGGAGGGGGCAGAGAAGAAGCGGAGGTAACAGGAGGAGGGGGAAAGGGGGAGGGATGATCATGATATCGCGAGCTGCGTGATGCAGGCGTGTGAATATGGGCCCCCTCTGGGGTCACCGGGGAGCCCCAAAAGGACCCCAAAGTCCCCCGAGGTCCCCCGACGCCCTTGGAGCCACCCAAGGCCGCCCGAGAGGCCCGGGGCTCACCACGTGTCCTCTGCTGGACCCCCGACGAAAACGACTCGTCCCAGTAAAGATGCTTCCGCTGGGGGGGGCCTCTGCCGGCTGCTTCCCGTACAAAATTTGCTGCCGCCAACGCCCTCTTGTTGCCGCCATTTTTGCTATACCGATCGTCCGCGTCGTGTTCCTCCCTTTTGTCGTCCTGGTCTTCCTCGTCTCCTGATTTCTCCTGCCCCATACTTTTTTCCCTTACGACTGGGCCATTGCGTTTGACGCACATCCCGAAAGTCTGCATTACTCTAAACGTTCCACCCACGAGCGTGACCAATAGCACTCCCGTCGGCCACTCCGCAACCGTTGTCTCAGAGACAAAAGCAGAATTCAGCGTTCTGAAGCATTCCCTCACCTGTGCAATACTGGTATACATGACGGTGATGACTACCCGAAGATACCCGTGCCCCTGCTGCCTTGCCATTTCCCCGCAAGGCACTGTGCGCGAAGATACGCAGTTCATGCTGTCTCAAACACTTCCTTATGGCACAACCTCTCCCCAATCGCTTCCCCTGTCCAACGCAGCATTCGCAACGTGGTCCGCGACGGCGTTGTAACGTCGCTCGTCCCATTCGACGAATGACATTGTGTTCCGTCTCGGAAAGACTCCAGCATGGAACACGTCTAGTAACTGTCTACTTCTGGTGACGCAGCGTGGGCGGCTATATTCGCACTTCCAGTGGGAACCCCCAATAAACATGTCACTCAACACTTGGCTGTCGACTTGAATTCACACGAGCCGTGCTCCGCATTCCTGGACTCCGCATGGCCGTTGGCCAAGCACTCTGGTCTGTTGTCGGACCCTGCGTTCAACTTCACCCGCTTTGCCGACGTCCTGACCACGCGGTCCCCGCAACTGAAGGGTTCCATAAATGAAAGAGGGCACCCCAGAATTCGACAAACTTGCGCAGCCACTCTGCCAGCGTAGTGCAACCTGCCATTGAGGATCTTCATTCTATAACCCATACTTCGACGAACGATGCCTCCCAGGACGCGGGCTGCTGCCCGCAGGTTCTCCATACCCAACCGACTTTCCATCGTTATGTATCTCTGATGCCAGCGCGATGCAGCCGCGCCACGATGGCGCGCTGGGGTAAACATACAAATCTCGAGGAACTTCTTGCCCACTGTCAGTAGGTGGCGTAATTCGTTTCTACCCACGCTTGCGCGGACAATGCCTTCAGGATGCGTCCTGGCATACGGTCGGTAACTTTTGCTCAGCATGTCACGGGAGCGGCCCCCGTGGCACGCTCTGCCTTGCATACGGGCAGCGTATCGCTCCGCTCCACGGGGCCGGGACGTTGACGCTCAGGGGCTGGGGCGTGGATAGCGTGTCGCTCCGAAGCACAGTGGGCCTGAACTGGCGGAGCGACACGCTATGCCAAAGTTCCTGACCGTAGAGAGGATGGAAGCGTGGCCAATCCACGCCCCGATTGCACTTCTCCCTGCCTCTTTTTACTACTCAGTCTCCTCATACTCGCGAGGTCCCCACCTCCTTCAACTTCCCCTTCTCCTTCTCCTCATCAACATCAGCCTGCTCAACCTCGACCACCTCCTTGCAGCCTCTGCCCCCACCAACACCCACCAGTTTCCCATATCTTCTATCCACCTCCTCCTCCTCCTCCTTCTTCCTCCCCCTCCTCCTCCTTCTCCTCCTCCCTCTCCTCCTCCTCCTCCTCCTCCTCCTCCTCCTCCTCCTCCTCCTCCTCGCCGTTCTTCCCCGATTCTCTGGTAGTGCCAAGGGGGGTCACCACTAGGGGGGTCGCCACATCCTCCTGGTCTTCGAGGACCGAAGAGGAGGGAAGATCGTGGATCCTAGGGTTCTGATTCTTGGGGGGGGGATCGTGAGGATTCTGGATGGTTCAGGAGGCCCGTGGTGGCAAACCCCCTGATGGTGGCCCCCCTGAGCATTGCCTACCCTCTTCTCTCCTTCACTCCCGCTGGGACCATCTCCCCGTTGCTGAGCTTGACCTCCCTGGTGAGCCTGTCGCGAGGGGTTGCTCCGGGAGGGCCGGGCAGTTCTCGATGGGGGGTCGGGCACAGAGGCTCTGGAATCACAGCAGAAGGGGCGAGGAGAAGGGGAGAGGGGGAGAAGGACGAAGAGAAGACCACGGGGGTGGCGGAGGATCGAGAAGGCGGAATAGGAAGACATCGATCAAGAGGGAAGCAAGGAAGACGCGAAGCACGAGCTGGACGCGGCGGAGCACAAGGAGGAGGACCAGGACAACGAGGGCGAGGAGAGGGCCTGAAGGAGGAGAAGATGGATACAGTAGGGGCCCGACCACAAGACACCTTCCATTAGAGACCAAACCCTGAGATCCCAGGACGTCCATAGCTTCTTGGTGCGAGAACGCCACGCCTCCCATGGCAAAGCATCGAAACCCAGGGCCCCCTGGAGGCACGCAGGGTGTTCCTTGGCATGGGCCCCCACTGGCTTGGGGCGGGGACCAAGAAGGAACTGGCGCCGGCCCCGGCGCCCCGGCGCGGCGCGGGCCCTGCTGCGCACGGGCCGCGCAGAAGCGCGGGCGCCGGCGCGGGTGACCTGCGCTCGGAGCCTCGTGAGAGCGGAGCGGGCTGGGAGAGGGAGGAGGCAGGAGGAGGAGGAGGAGGAGGAGGAGGAGGAGGAGGAGGAGGAGGAGGAGGAGGAGGCAGGAGGAGGATGAGGCAGGAGGAGGAGGAGGAGAGGAGGAGGAGCAGGAGCAGGAGCAGGAGGAGGAGGAGGAGGGGAGGAGGAGGAGGAGGGAGGAGGAGGTGAAGGGCCCTCCCGCCCCGCTCTCCGCGAGAGCCCCCTCTCGGGGCCTCCGGCCGTGCCCCGCCCGCCCGCCCGCGGATCCCCCTTTGGACGGTGCGGCGCCGCCTCGCGGGGAAAGCGCCAGTGCCCCCCCTCTCCTCCTCCTCCTCCTCCTCCTCCTCCTCCTCCTCCCTCCTCCTCCTCCTCCTCCTCCTCCTCCTCCCTCCTGCTCCCCCCTCCCCCTCCCTCCTCCCTCCTCTCCTCCCCCTCCTCCTCCCCCTGCCCCCCTCCCTCCCCTCCTGCTCCCCCTCCCGGGAGGGAGGTCGGTGATCGCAGCGGCAGGTGCGCGCCCCAAGACAGCCAACAGAGGCGTGCGACTCGAGGAGACCTCGGGGCACTTGGGAGCCCTCGATCGGACGAACACCGGGGACGATATGGACAGCTGAAACAAAGAAGCGCGATCGCACGAAAAGGACAAGAAAGCACGGCATAAACATAAACTGTCGGCGCTTCGCGCCGATTTCTTGGATACGCGCTGGGCCCCCCTCCCTGGCGCGTGGAGCGCGCAAGGGGCGGCGCCGGAGGCGCCGCCTAGGGGGGCCCAGCGCGGATCTAAGAAATCCGTGCGGAGCGCCAATCAGTTTACGTTTATGGCGTTTTTTTCTTCGAGCTAAGCAAGGCACTAGGGGGAACATCATTTTTATGGACGTGCACCGTTCAGCACAGCCATGCAACCAGGGCTGCTCGCTTCCATTTTCTGCACGCAGCCGCACATTCACAATCACAAGACCACCTTGCACACTGCTGCGCTCGATAGACATGCGTTCCCCCTTTCCACAGGTCAGCGCTGAGCACGCTGGGCCAGGGCCCCTACCACATCTCGGTGCCCACTTGGGTTGTACCAAAGACGCCCACTGTCCCATTCCATAACTACAAGCGGCAATGATCCGTTATAGACGACAGATTGGCAACATTATTCGGCGATCTTTGAGGGCCCTAGGTGCCCCAGAGCTTCTGTGGGCCCCTGGGATCATCGGGGAACAAGAGATTTCCGCGGGGGCACTTGTTGCCAAACCGATGTCTGATTTGATGTGGCCACTGTATACACGCCAAGAGACACGACCCCGATGGCGGCAGCGCTCAGAAGGCCAAGGGTGGGGACTGCGAAGGGCTCTGGTCCCTGCTGACCCCCGCAACCTGACCGAAACCGAGACTTGGGGTCCCAGAACCGTGTGGTGACGGACGGCCTGACCTCCGAACCCCCGACGACCTCAACGCGCGGTCCGCCACCGCACGGCTTCGAGACCTCGGAGGCCCCAGTCGCCCGAGACGTCCTCGGAGAACGACCCGAGTCCCAAAACCACGCTGCGACCCTGAATCCGCGTTGAATCACCACGCGGTGTGGTCACCACACATTTTGAGGCCTCCCGAGAAACGCTCCCCCCCAGAGCGCCCGACCCCACACTCCGAAGACGACCGAGCTCGGCCGAGACAGCCCTCGGCCCGATGTCCTGGCAGAGACGACGAGAGGGCACACTGCTGCATCGGGCGAAGCAGCAGCTGGAGAGGCCCGGGCTGAGCCTCGAGCTCTTGGGGTCCACGCTCCTCTGGAGCAGGTCCAGATCCGACGCCGAGTCCAGAGCCACGGTGACGCTGCCCTCGGCAGGGGGCGGAGCAGGGCGTCCAGCAAGGAAAAGGAGGATGAGGAGGAGCAACATGGGCTTCGGAGAAGAGAAGCAGCAAGAGCAGGGAGAGGAGGAGGAGGCGCATGGTGAGCAGGGTGTCAGGCGAGGAGGAGGGACGGGCGGAAGAAGATATCATAGGAGGAAACCCAAGATAAATCAACGGTGCTGCAGAACACCACTCCGTCTCAGGTCCCCCCCGAACACGCCCCAGGGGACCGTACCTTGTCATCCCTGAGTGCCCAACACCCGAACTGAAGAGTAACCATCATTTACTGCCGTAGCCTCCATAAACGTCAAGTTGAACCTGCGAGATATCCAGCGAGACCTCCATTACAAAAAGAGACCGCCCTCGATCCAAGCAGCTCAAAGAAATTATGCAAATGACGGAGCATGCAAACTAGGGAGATTGCAAACAATCGTCAACTTTTGAAGCTGTGCCGTCATTCGATGCACTGGCTCCACATTTTAACCGTCTCGCGCTGGCAAATCTGCGGAACCCTCTGTGGATGCCCACATGGAGAACATCCCGCCCTGCCTCCGCGTCTGCGCGAGCCTTGACAACGAATACGCAAGTCGTCAGGGCTAGCGCAACATTAAGAAAACAACCCGCCCCCCTCTGCCCGCCATCCCGCGTCGCCGCCGTCGCCTTCTTCGTCGCCGTCGCAGTCTCCTCCGTGGTCGTCACCGCTGCCGCCCTCCACGTCATCGTCGGCGCCTTCGCTGGCGCCGTCGCCGTCGCCGTCGCCGCCGCCACAGCCATCGCCACCGTCGCCGTCGGCGCTTTCGCCAGCGCCGCAGCCGTCGTCGTCGCGGGCGCCACCGCCATTACCGGCGTCGCCGGCGTCGTCGACGCTGGAGTCGTCGTCGGCGTCTTCGCCCTTCGCCAGCGCCGCCGTCGTCGTCAACGTCGCTGCCGTCGCCGCAATCGCCATCGCTTACCGTCGCCGTCGACGTCGTTGTCACCGATGGCGTCGTCGTCGCCGCCACCGCCACCGTCGCCGTCGCCGTCGCCGCGGTCTGGTCATCAGTACTGACAGACAAAAAGACCCCAATGACTGTAGGAAAAGAGGGGGTGTTTGCTTGGGGGGGGAGGGAGGAGGGAGGACAGAGCATGGATGAGGACAGGGAGTTAAGGATGAGAAGGGACACGATGCAGGGAGAGGGGGGATGAGGGAGTGGAGAGTGGGAGGGAGGCAAAGAGAGTAATACAGAGCATTGGGAGGGGAGGGAAGGCGGGGAGGGAGGGAGGAAGGGGAGGGAGGGGAAGAGGAGAGAGCGGGATGAGCAACACGAGAATTGCCTGCACCGTCTTCTTCCACTGCCCCCCCTCCTCCTCCTTCTCTTCCTCCTCCTCTTCCTACTCATCCTCCTCCTCCTCCCCTTTTCCTACCCCCCACCCACCCAAGGAGGAGGGAGGAGGAGGGAGGAGATGGGGGAGGCGGCACGGTGGGCCGCCTTGCCGACCAGGGTGGTGCTTACCGCCAGCCGCCCCGCCTGGCGGGCGAGGTTGGAAAGAAGCGAGGATGAGAGGAGGGGAGGAAGGCATAGATGAGAGGATGAGAGGTGGGATGAGGAAGAGGAGGAGGACGATGAAAGACGTGGAACGAGGAGGAGGAGGAGGAGGACGATGATTGAGGGAGGAGAGCGAAGGAGAGGAGGAGGAAGGGGATTGAGGGAGGAGGGGAATGAGGAGGAGGAGGATTGAGGGAGGAGGAGGGGGAGGAGGAGGAGGAGGAGGAGGAGGAGGAGGATTGGAGGCGGAAGAAGAGGAATAGGAGAATGCGAAGGATGAGGATGGAGGGAAGAGGAGGCAAGATAGGGGGATGGATGGGCAGACTGCACGCCACACATACTGCAATATCTGGGCATGGGGTTTGCGGGGTGTGTGTCATGATCTTGCCCCCCCTGGGAGGGAAGAAGCAGGAGACGGGGGGAGATGAGGGCGGAAGAAGGATATATAGATATAGATATAGATAGGGAGAGATAGAGTGAGAAAGAGAGACAGAGAGAGGGAGAGCAACAAAGAGAGGGAGAGGTGCATACACAACAATTTGTATCTGTAAACATTCACACCTATAAATGATAGAGACGACAGCGTGTTGTGCTCGCGTGCTTGGAAAAACCCAAACACGTCGTAGCCGCCCCTCACCACACCTAAACATGTGAAGCGCCTGGAGAACAGCCCAACAGCCCCCCTCCCCCTCGCGTGCGCCTGTCTCTCTAAGAGGCCCTCCCCCCTCCAAGGGGGAGGGGCGGGTTCGAACCGGGCCCCCACACCCCACTCCCTGTCCAAGGGGGGGGGGTTCGAACCGCCAACCCCCCACACCTAATAAAACTGCATTCGTGCTCGATCAAGCTCTACGAGCATCTCACTGTAGCTGGATCCAGCTATAATAGCATCCTAGTCGGGCTCGCTCCAACTCTAAGACTCCTATAGCTGGATCCAGCTCTGCTTGAATCCTGCTAAAGCTCGATCCAGCTCTAACGGAATCCTATACTAGCTGGGTCCAATACATAAGTTACGAGTCGGGCTCGATCCAAATCTCACGCAATCCTACTACAGCTGAATCCCGCTCTACTTGAATCCTGCAAAAAAACTATAGATCTAATGGGCTCCTACTACAAGAAGATCAAGCTCTCGTTGAATCCTCCTCAGGGCTCGATCCACTCCTCATAGAATCTCACCAGGGCTCGGTCCAGCCTTCATAGCATCCAACTGAGGCTGAATCGCTCGATCGTCGTCATCGTCGTCGTCGCTGCCTGACGGCGCCGGCCCAGGCGCAGGCGCCGGCACTCGCCGCCGTCGTCGGTTGCCAGGGGAGGGGGGGGCCCGGTTCGAACTCACCCCTTTGAGGGGGGGACACCCGCCCCAGTTCGACCCCCCGCATGTGCAATTCGAGGGGGGGGGCGGTTCGAACACCTCCCCCCTTCAAGAGTCCACCGAAGGCGCTCTTATGCATGTACATCTAGAGACGAAACGCTGGAGAATATCCGCTACCGTGCCGCTGGGCACGGAGTGGGCGTGTCCCCAGGTCCTTTGTCTAATCCTCTCAGCCTCAATCCTAACTCCTGACAATTTTTTCAAGGGCGTGTGCCCCGAATTGAAAGTTCTCCTGGGGCTTCTCGCGTCCGTTCGGGGGCTTGTCGCGGTTCGCCACGGCTTGTCGCGTGTCGTTTTTGCGCCTAAGAGGGCTCCAAGGTGGACCCAGAGGGCCCCAAGAGGCTCACAAGACGGCCTAAGAGGACCCCGAGTCGCCGACCTGTCGGTCCAAGACGCCCCAGATGGCTCTAAGACGGTCCAACAGGCCTCCAAGACACCTAAAGAGGCCTCCAAGAAGCCTCCCGAGATCATTGATTTCCCTTCGGTTCTTGATGTTGGCGTTCTCGCCTTCTCGGCTTCCCAACGCTCCACGACGGCCCACGAGTCCCCCAAGATCTCCCCAAGACGGCCCCACGCCCCCAAGAGGGCCCCAAGACGGCCCACGAGGGCCCCGAGACGGCCCAAAGACTGCTTCAAGAGGGGGCCCAGATGGGGAATCCGAACGGATATTTTCAAGCCCTTGGCCCCGAGGGGCCCCCAGGAGGCCCCGAGAGGCCCCCAATAGGCCCCGAGAGGACCCAAGAGGCTCTCAAGAGGCCCCCAAACTGCTCCCAAGAGGCCACTGAGAGCTTTCTGAAGAAGCCCGAAGAAGCATCCCTGAAAACTCTGATCCACGGTGGCGGGATGGGTCGAACGCCACTAGATGAAAATATGGCGGGATGAGGAAACGGGATATTGGAGGGGAAGGACTGGGACGAACACCCGATTAAAATGTACCATGCAACTTGGGTCTGGAAATCAAGAGTGAGAGGGGATACAGGGTCAATCGTAGGAGAAGCGGGCGGCGAGGAGATGGAGAAAGGATGTGATGGCGTGTGGAAGAAGAGAATAATAGACAAAAAGAGGAAGGGGGTAATTAAGGGAAGGGCGGGAGACCAAAAAAACGATGAGGACGGCCCGGAAGAGGACGAGTGGAAAAGGGTGGGAACGATACGACGAGGCGAAAGTGCGCACCGCTTTGCACAGGGCTGTGTGAATTCCCCTGCAGACGCTACTGGCGACTTGAAGAGACGGGCGTGGGGCGGAGGAGGAGGAGGCGGAGGAGGAGGAGGAGGAGGAGAAGGAGGGGGAGGGAAGGAGGAAAAGAAGGGGGCGGAGGGGGCGGAGGAGGCGGAGGAGGAGGCGGAGGAGGAGGCGGAGCAGCAGGAGGAGGAGACAGCAGAGGAGGGAACACGATTTGGCCAGGGCAGTGCCAGAGCTACAGCATGAGCGTGGGCAGCGGAGACGGACAATGGCTTGAAATCTTTCCCGTCGTGGGGGGCCGCCTCTCCCACAACCGGCGGAGACGGCCCCCGAAGACACGGCCTTCGATGCCGACCATGTGAGCTTGCCGAAACCCTGCCTCCAGCTTCTGCTGTGGCGCAACGCGGAGGGGCGGAGGGAGATGAGGGCGAGGAGGGAGAGAAAGGATGGAGAAATGGTGCAGCGGAGGGGGGTGGGGGGAGGGCCTGACCTGCGCTACTCCAGCTGAGCCGAGGGAGGCCGAGGAAGAGGACGGGGGGAGGTCGGAGCCAGAGCCGACGGCGCCGTCAATGCAACACGCTGGCGCGAAGAGAGATCTGGACTCACCCCCGTGCGTGGCAGTACGTCTCAGAGCGACGAGACATCTGCGTCGCGGATGTGTTAGAAAGAAGGAGGGAGGCGGGGAGCAGCAGCAGAACCACACTCAGGATGACGAGGGGGAGAGGGAGGGAAAGAGGGAGTGGGGGAGGGGACGGGGTTGAGGGAGGCAAGGAAGAAGTGAGAGAGCGGTGATAAAGGGGAGGCGGGGAGTGGAAGGGCGAGCGATGGCACAGGGGAGTTCGAAGGGGACGGGAGGAAGAGGGGACTGGAGACTGGAGAAGGGGGGATGGGGGGTGGAGGCAGGAAGGATCAGAGGGCACTGGGGCGCCACCCGAGCAAAAACCTGGCCGCTGCACCCTCCCCCGGGGGCCTCGACACCCCAGCTGGCGACGCGAACCCACGAAGCGAATCGGAACGATTTCAGCGGGCCGCTGCCCCCCTGGGACGACTTGAGAACTCGCCTGCACGCGCGTGCCGGCGCCCCAATCGTCGGGAGCGGCCAGGAGGGGGGTGTCCAAGAGGGGGGAGTGCAAATCGTGACCGGCGGCACGAGCGCGGCCCAGCGGGGGGGCCAGGGACGCAATGGAACAAGAAGAGGCGAATTGAAATCTGGGGAGATATCATGGCCCCCGCCATGATATCCACCCCCCACTAGTCATCACCCCCCTCTTTGCCGTCCGCGAAATCGTGACTCCAGCTGCGCCCGACGATGGACCCAAATCACGCGCACGGGTGCGCACGGCCGCATCGCTCACGTCGAGGAGGCTCGCGCGGACCTCCGCACGGCGGCCTCGCGCGACTGGCCAGATCGGGCTCGCACGTCCCCAAAGGTGGGGAAACCAAACGGTACCGATACCCTTGGAGTCCCGAAACGGTGCGGTGACGGACCGTGCGGTGACCTCGAGATCCCCCAAGACCTCACCGCACGGTCCGTCACCGCACGGTTTTGGGACCCTGGGGGCCCCTGTCGCCCGAGACATCCTCGGAGAGGGACTCGAGTCCCAAAACCGTGCGGTGACCCCGAATCCCCAACAACTCACCGCACGGTGGAGTCACCGCCCCGCTACTCACCAGACCTCTCCCAGGGTGCGTTCTGACCAGGATTTCGGAGCGAGTCCAGCGGTGGCGACGAGGGCCTCTGAGGGCGAAGAAGAGGGAAAACGGGCGAAGGGTAGCGCTATGGGTACCTCTGCCTCCTCCGAGACAGAGATACCGTGGTTGCCCAAGGAACCGCCCATCCCGAAAGCGCATCGGAGCGAGGCAAAAGCCCAAGCCCCAAACGTAAAGCTCGGTTTCTCCGATCCGGGCGAGTGTAAGCCGTGTCAAAAAAAAACGTCTTCGGGGAGACGTAAGTCTCGGTTGCGGGGGACTCGGGTTGGCCTGACGGCGCCATCATGAAAATGACCAAACCCAATATGAAGTTTGACGCGACGCGAGCTCCTGGTGCAAACATCCCACGACAACGGGACCGTCAAATCCATGACGCGCTCGCCAAAAAACGTCGGCACACCCAACTCCGGCGCACTTGAGTTTTACGTGCCCCCAATTTTCTTGCGTGCCAGTGCCTGCGCGTGAATATGAGCATTGATGCAGGGGGCGCGGGGGGTGACGTCGCCCCGAAATTCCAAGTTCTTGGATGCGACCTCTTTTGCGAGCTGTTTGTGCACTTCCGGCTGGACCGAAACTCGGAGCAAGCCTCGGTGATATACGATGGGACGGGTCCGTCCTCGATGAGGGGTGCGTCGGAAGACCCCCGCTGGGGGTGGATCCCGAATTGTCCTTTTCCTCTAAGCGATCAAATTTTATGTTAGACTGGGGCTTGGCAGTGGGGGGCGAAAAACCGAAGACCCCCCAAATTGGATCCGACCAGATGGGGTCCAAAAAGACGCGCCGCATCTTCGCCGTCGGCGTGGAGGAAGCAGTGCTCCGCGTCGAACCGCATCGACGATGCGTCGGCGATGCGGCGAGGCGGCGCGAATCTTCCGACCCCCACGTGCTTGGACCCGCTCGTCGTCGGCTTTTGGATCATCGTTCGGGTCTCCGGCGGTCGCTCGGGGCGATCTCCCAACCCGCCAGGAAAGCCCTCGACGAAGCGCAGCCGATTGAAACCACCCCTCCTCCTCCTCCTCCTCCTCCTCCTCCTCCTCCTCCTCCTCCTCCTCCTCCTCCTCCTCCTCCTCCTCCTCCTCCCCCTCCCCCTCCCCCTCCCCCGAGGAATTCGTGGCAACTCACGGGAGCCTCTCATGTCATGTTGTTGGCTCTTGCGACTCGGCGCTCGCCGACGCCGATCGACGCGACATCTACATTCATCAACGCTCGAATCGGCGTTGCGGAGACATATAGGGATCCCACGAGGTTCCGAACAGCGAACGTCGTCCGCGCCGTCACACTCTGGACTCTGGGGCGCGATCCCGCGGATCTGCGTTCGCACGGTTACGTTCCGCACCCGTTGAGTAAGGACCGACCGTCCCAGCATTCCTATAGGCTTACCACGACATGTTCCTAGAACCCAAAACCGCTTGAAAACAAAAAACATTGCTATCATAACAGGAACCCGATGTGTTAAAACAGGACAGCCCCAGTCATTAATGTTCTGGGAACATTTCGTGGACACCACAAGAGGTTATCTGAACCTTCTTTGGTGGGTTTTATAGGCAAGCCTGGACGCTTCGCCACTGCTCGAACCAGCGAAAAATGCCAACGGAGGTGAAGAGCCGAAAGACCCAACCGCCCGCCCGAAGGAGATCCGCAGGTAGAGGAAGGATGACATCGATGAAGGGTTTTCTCCCTCGATGCTGCTCAGTCCTGATTCTCAGGAAATCCACTACCCGAGCTAGGAGAGGTAAGGGTGAGAAAGAGACGGGATACACACTCCAAAACACGCCCCCGCATCCGCAGTGCCGCACTGGGCCCGGCCCGAGAGGCCGCCTGGGCCGCGGGGCCGCGAGAGGGCGCGTTGGCCCAGTGGGCGGCGCCTCGGTGACCTCGAAGCGCTCCAGCAGCGCCGCCTCGAGCCCCCCGTGCGCGAGCCGCTTCTCCAGCACGAGCGCGGCCCGGGCGCCCGAGTCCTCCAAGGCTTCGGGCGCTGCTCGATGCGGGGGAGCAGTGCGGTCGGGAGCCCTTGCCTGGCGTGTCGCGGCGGCGGACCCAGCGACGCGCTGCGCACTGCGAGCGGACAGCGTGTCGCTCCGCTCCACGGGGCGGGAGGCTGCGAAGAACTCGCGACGTTGACGCCTGTAGACTGGGACGTGGATGGCGCGTCGCGCCGAAGCGTGGTGGGCCAGAGCCGGCGGTGCGACGCAATGAGCCAAACAAAGCTTCCGATTGCAAGCATATCCGCCACCGTGCCACGAGGCACGGAGTGGAGCTACCCCCAGGCTCTTATGTGTTCGCTGTTCTCTGTATTCAGGACTGCGGGATTCTACTATTCTAGGGGCTGGGGCCCCAGATTCTCAAATCCCACCAGCCCTTTGGGCGTGAGTGGTTTAGCGAGCTCTCTCTGTCCTCAACCCCCCTTCTTCCCCTTCGGGGAGGGGCTTACCCCTCCCCCTACCCCCTCCCCTGGACCTGGAGAGGGAGTTCCGAGTGGTGTCAAGGGGGGCCTTTTTCGACTCCTGGGAGGGCCAAAAAAACGACGACCCTCACGAGGATTCTGGCCCGGGGGGGGGGGGAGTTTGGTGCCTCTACTCGTCGTTGAAGCAAAAAACATTGATTTTACCAGGCCCCATTTTGGCCTTCTGAGGGGGCCGCGCTCATTTTCCTTCATAGCAAAATCATTGATTTTACGAAGGTTTTCGGCTCATCTTGTCCTTCTCAGGGGGTAGCGCTCCTTTGCGCTTCTGAGGAGGTCGCAAGAGGCCCCAAGATGGCCCCAAGAGGCCCCCAGGAGGCTCCCAAGAGGCCTCCAAGAGGCCCCCCGGAGGCCACCAAGAGGCCCCAAGAGGCCCCCAAGAGGCCTTCTGAGGCCCCAAGAGGCCCCCAAGAGGCCCCCAAGAGGCCCCCTGAGGCCCCAAGAGGACCCCAAGAGGCTCCCAAGAGGCCCCCAAGAGGCCCCCAAGAGGCCCCAAGAGGCTCCAAGAGGCCCCCAAGGGGCCCCACGAGCCCGAACGACTCACACCAGGGCGAGGGGCCCGAACGACTCACACCACGAAGAGCCCTTTTTTGACCTCCACGGGCCCACCGCATAGTGCAAGCAACTGGCAAGGCGGGACCTGCCAGCTCTGAGAAGACCTCGCCTCGGCGAGAGCCGCTATGGGGAGGGGGCTTCGCGAGTTCCTTTCGGAGCGCCCACTATGGCCCCCTCCCCGCACGGATCGACCCTCGGCTCGGGCTCTCACTGTCTGGCAGACACGCCAGAGACAGTGCACAAGAAAAAACAACTCGCCACACAAGTAACCATACCTGCCATTAGTGGCGAATGACGAGTGAAAAACAGGCACCAGCTGACCCTCAGCTGGAAAAACGATCGGCAACGCGGAGAGCATCCTGAGCGGACAGGCGGTCGCCGCTTAGATCGCGAAGCCGCAACCTATGCCACAACAGCCTGAAGGCCAAGGAGGCAAAGCACGGCCGAGGATAAGATTGAGAACAGAAACAAAATTAGAGGGGGTGGCTGCGACGGCAACCACACGAACAAGAAAACGGGTTCACGCCTGCCAAAAGAAAAAGGCAGGCAAGAACGCTGCAAGTCAATCCGAATCCCCCGACCCCGCCTCCACAACCCCACCCGTTCCCATATCATCCGCCTCGCAGCGGAGAGAAGCGGCAATGCGCCTCAAGCGCTCCCTGGTGGCTGGGGCCGAGGCGACCACATCACTCGAGGAAGAGCTGGGCGCAACGCTGCAGACAGGAACGCTTGCAACAGATGCAGTAGCAGGCTCTGTGGGGCGGGCATGCTCCTGCCCTCCAGCGCTGGCAGCACTGCCAGTCGAGCCAGAGGGCGCGGAGCTCTTGTCACCTTCCTCCGAAAAATCAGGATTCGAAACCAAATACGAGTTGAAGCAACGCACAAGAGAGGTATCATCAACTGTGACACCTTTCCTCGACCTGGAGTAGTGCGGATGGATACCCTTACACAAAGCAGCCCAACCCTGACGACCCGCGCGGGAAGGCTTCTTACAGACTTCCCCTAGGCCTCTAATCCTGCCACCAGTGGAGTGGCATTTGCATTTCAGGCATATGAATAACACTGACTTATCTGAACAGTCAAAGGCAACAGTTCTGTGCCCTAGAGCATCCTGCCTCGCGGCATGCAACTTAGACTCCTGGGGGCATCTACCAGGGGAAGGGCGTGACGTGCCCCTACTCCCACGGAGGCAAACAGCACACCTCCAGACGCCAGCCCAGACTTCCCAACGATGACCTACCTTACTGAAGGAGCCTAAATGCTCAGCAGGAGGAGGAGGGAAATAAGGAACGTCGAGAGAGAGCTTAGGCCATAATGGAAGCAAGTTAGCAGCAAGGATGCAATAACCCCTGGCCGCTTCCACGAGCTTGTCTACATTGGCTAATTCAGACGGGTCAGAAGGGTGGAGCTGAAGGGCATGTTTGGCCCCCGCATCAGCATCATAATTTCCACGCCTGAGGAAACGTTCTCTCTCCGAGATGCCCTCCTGGTGCACATCTAAATGAGCTTTGACCTTTACAATGCCTTCCAAAAAGCGGCCCTCAAAGTTGTTGGCGCACATGATCATTCCTGAATACGACCTCTTGCCCGAGTACCTCTCTGGCAAGGGCAACGTACTGTGAGACACAACATTGGCACAGTCCGAATAAATTGTGGTCGGCAACACCAGGAACTGAGCGGCGACACATCTGGCAGCATATTCAGCCGCCTGAGGCGTCTGAGGAAGATGAGCCCAGACAGGGCCTCTCGCCTCTCCAAGGCAAGTGCCATCCTCGGCGTTCATTGAAATAGCATAGGCAGCTCTTGAAAGTTCCTTGATCGGGTGGCGCTGGCAGGACCCATCTATGAAGACGTGACCCCACATTTCCCCGTTCACTGGGACCCTGGGACCTTCAGGGCTTTGAAGCTCGTCACAATGCCAGACGAACTGAAGGGCATTCGTTCCCTCCACGACAGGACGCGGCAAAACATCAGCGGGATGAGCGAAAGCTCCTCTAGTATATAGTGCTCGCACGTGAGGGTCAGGTTCCGCCTGAGCTGTCCACGCGGCGATGGCGTCTAGCACGACTGAGGCCGGGACCAGCTGAGTCCGCGACTCTTGAGCTTCCGTCGCCGTGCACTGCCAAAGCCTGTGAAACACTGAGTCGGGAGCAGCAGAGCATAGAGGGCAGAGCGGGTCGACCTGATATCCGCATGCCAGGGCCTTGTCCGCAGACCAAATAGCATCACAAGAGCAAGCTCGAATCCAGCCCCTCTGAGCTGGCGTGAACTTCTTACTGACACAAGCAGCTTTGGGAATGTCCAGGCACGCCCTGCATTCAAGCCCCCATTTACCCCCAAGATCCCGCTCGAGCCCACGAAGGTAGGCCTCTTTGCACAAGGTTTCCAACAGCTTGGGGGGAATCAAACCGAGCTGCAAACGGTAACCTCGGTCATCGGAAATCGTGGCATAGTCTTCCATGGTCCAACCAAGGCGAAGGAGGGTAAGGCGAAGAGCAGACACAGGGCCCTTCACAGTAGGCCAAGTAACCCTGGGCAACGCGAAAACACTCCTGAAGCCGTCTCGGAGCTCCCTATGAGGAATGGACCAGGGGAACTCACGGGTTTGGGCCAACCAGACCTCCTTGCTCCAGCGCAGGATGGGGGCCGACGCAGCTCGCCAGCAAGGGTCGTCCGACAGGATGCTGACAGCCGTAAGAGACCTACTTTTAGCAAAAGGCCTCACCGTCTTGAAGGCTTGCCGCCTCATGGTCAGGAGGACCTGGTCGCTCACCCCCAGGATGTCCGCCCCGTAGGCCCCTCCAGGGAGGGGACCCGAGGCGAACACTCTGAGGGCTTTGCGACCAAGGTTGCCTGCCTGACGCTTGAGACGACGAGCTCTCCTGCAAAGAAGCGCCACGCGGCTCTTGAGCTTCGAGCTCCGCCCTGAGGCCCTGACCGAGGTGCCAGCACAGTAGTCAACTCCTAGGTTCACAGTCGAGGCAGTGAACTTGCCTCCAAACTGACCAAGAGCAGCAGCCAGCGCGGTGGCCAGGCCTTTGGAGGACGCAACAGTGCATATCTTGTCTAGCGCCAGCTGGCAATTCATTTCATTCTCATCAGTAATAGCATGATGGAGAGCGAGAGAGACGGCAACAATGGAAGAAATCACATGCTTTCGGGACCCCGTGCAAGACACTCCAGTATCATCAATATAGATGTCGAAGTCTTGAGAAGGAAACGAGGGGAGCTTATCGAAAGAAGACATACCATATATGCGTATATGAGTCGTGGCCATGCTGCAGCCTGCGATGACTCCTTTCTGCACAAAGTGCGGCCCATCCAAGAGGCCGGCGATGGAGACGAAGCGGCCGCACCTGTACGCATAAAGGGTAAGCCTAGTCAACACTATCGGGAAATTGTGTTGGTGGCAACGCTGCTCTAACACGTCTAAATCAATCGTTTCATAATACTTGAGCATATCATAGAAGACGCTGGCACTCTCTTCCCCTTTAGAGGTCCCCGTCTCCGAGCGAAACGATTGACGCCAGACCACATCCGCAGCTCCACGAAACGCCCCAGCAGCCCAGTACCGACGGGGGTGTTGCTGCTCCCAGTGTAAGGCTTGGGGACGCCTGAGGCGCCCCCAGACCCTATACCAGGAGCAGAACACCCCTATCGGTCTGTAGCCACCGCTGGGTTTCGAGAGCAGGGCAATCAACACCGCGGAGATCTGGCGCGGAAGTTGGCCAACCGACTCCATCAGCTGAAAGAGCATGCCAAGCGCAACCAGCCCAGCATCACACAGAAGGTGAAAGTGACGGCAATCAAACCCGTCGTAAGTGACAGCCGAGGTTCTCTTATATTTCTTGCTAACAGCCCGCAACTGAGCGGGATCAGCCCTGGGGAGGGCTTCCACAAGAGTGCAACTCGCAGGATTGCCAGCGCCATCTTTCCAGAACC